ATACAGACAGACTTGAATTCAATTCTTGAGGTTCAGATACACGGCAGAGATCAGCTTGTAGTTGCCAAAAGTCCTTTTAGAAATACTCCATAGGTTATAGTCCAATATCAGTGACTGGGGATCTCAATCCTTATGGCTTAAGTTTTCCCCCTCTTGAAACCCAGAGCAGATCTGAGATGAAGAAGGATTGTGTCCCAAGGTTTTTATACATTTCCTGCAGCCTTTTGGCCTAAGAAAACAATAGGCTTAACTTTCCTTCTTCCAAACATCATGGCAATTAGCAAAAGATAATTTATCCATTAAACACTTCAAAAACAGGTTATCACAACCTTCAAAGAGACAGAGACAATAATACTATTTCACTCAAATGTCTTCCTAAATGTTAATATTCCTTTTTTGATCTTTGAATCAAAGCTACAGCCATCGACAAGACTTGTTTGCTGACATCACAAGACCTGAGCAAACATCTACTCTTCTGTCTCTAACAATGCAGACTTGCATTTCAAAGCTCTCTTCATTTCCATCTCTTCCTAACCAGTCTCTAAAGTTCGGCCATGGGTCAGGTCAGTCTGGGAGTTAATTAACTCTTTCTGGCCCTGTCACCTTTCAATGAGATATTAAATTACACTCAGAATGTCACAGGGGTCACAGTGGACCATAAACTCAATATGAGTCAATGCTCAAATAAATTGGTTAGTCTCTAAGGTGCCACAAGTACTCCTTTTCTTTTTGCAAATACAGACTAACACGGGCTGTTCCTCTGAAACCTGAATAGTGTAACACTGTTGCAAAAAAAGCAAACATCATTCTGGGATGTATTATCAGGAGTGTTGTAAGCAAGACACTGGAAGTAATTCTTCCGCTCTACTCTGCACTGATTAGGCCTCAGCTGGAGTATTGTGTTCAGTTCTGGGTGCCACATTTCACAAAAGATGTGGACAAATTGGAGAAAGTCCAGAGAAGAGCAACAAAAATGATTAAAGCTCTAGAAAATACAGAAGTGAAAGTAAGCCGGCACACCCCGGTATGGCATACCGGCAAGAGCCGGTGCACCGTACTGGGGCAGCCCAGCTTCTCCAGGGGGCAATTTAAAGGGCCTGGGGCTCCCAGCAGTGGCTGGAACCCCAGGCCCTTTAAATTGCCTCCAGAACCCCCTGCTGAAGCCCTGGGGTAGCGGCTGCGCAGCTCCGGCGGCTATTTAAAGGGCCCGGGGCTCCCCTGCTTCTACCACCCCGGCCCTTTAAATAGCTGCCGGAGCCCCGCCGCTACTCCAGGGTTCCAGGGGCTATTTAAAGGACTGGGGCGGTAGAAGCAGGGAAGTCGCAGGCCCTTTAAATAGCCCCAAGAGCCCTGGGGTAGCAGGGGCTCCAGGGGCTATTTAAAGGGCCAGGGCTCCAGCTGCCTCTGCTGCCCGGTCCTTTAAATAGCCGCTGGAGCCACACCACTTCCCCAGGGCTCCAGCAGCTAATTAAAGTACAGGGGCAGTACAAGCAGGGGAGCCCCGGGCCCTTTAAATAGCCCCCAGATCCCCAGGTTGCTGCTACTACCCCGGTGGGGGAGGAGGAGGAGGAGAAGGGGGGGCAATTACCGCACAGGGTGGGCTGGGGCTGGCTCTGACCCCCTCAGCCCCGCCCTTCCACCATAGGCCCCGCCCCTTCCGGGGGCCAGAGCTGGCCCCAGTGTACCGGTAAGTCACTCGACTTACTTTCACCCCTGAGAAAATACAATCTATGAGGGAAGATTGAAAAAACTGGGTTTGTTTAGTCTGGAAAAGAGGAGACTGAGAGGGGACATGACAACAGTTTTCAAGGAGGAGGGAAGAAAATTCTTCTCCTTAACCTCTGAGGATAGGACAAGAAGCAATGGGCTTAAATTGCAGCAAGGGAGGTTTAGGCTGGAGATTAGGAAAAATTTCCTAACTGTCAGGGTGGTTAAGCACTGGAATAAATTGCCTAGGGAAGTTGTGGAATCTCCATCATTGGAGATTTTTAAGAGCAGGTTAGAAAAACACCTGTCAGGGATGGTCTAGACCAGTGCTTCTCAAGCTATCTGATGTGGGGGACTGGCAATTTTATTTTCCAATGTGCGCGCAGACTGGCAGCCGATTGCTCGCGGACCGGCACCGGTCCGTGGACCAGCACTTTGAGTAGCACTGGTCTAGATAATACTTTGTCCTGCCAGGAGTGCAGGGGAATGGACTAGATGACCTCTTGAGGTCCCTTCCAGTTCTATGATTGTCATAAATATAAAGGGAAGGGTAAACCCCTTTGAAATCCCTCCTGGCCAGGGGAAAGCTCCTCTCACCTGTAAAGGGTTAAGAAGCTAAAGGTAACCTCGCTGGCACCTGACCAAAATGACCAATGAGGAGACAAGATACTTTCAAAAGCTGGGAGGAGGGAGAGAAACAAAGGGTCTGTGTGTCTGTCTATATGCTGGTTTCTGCCGGGGATAGACCAGGAATGGAGTCTTAGAACTTTTAGTAAGTAATCTAGCTAGGTATGTGCTAGATTATGATTTCTTTAAATGGCTGAGAAAAGAATTGTGCTGAATAGAATAACTATTTCTGTCTGTGTATCTTTTTGTAACTTAAGGTTTTGCCTAGAGGGGTTCTCTATGTTTTTGAATCTAATTACCCTGTAAGATATCTACCATCCTGATTTTACAGGGGGGATTTCTTTATTTCTATTTACTTCTATTTTTATTAAAAGTCTTCTTGTAAGAAAACTGAATGCTTTTTCATTGTTCTCAGATCCAAGGGTTTGGGTCTGTGGTCACCTATGCAAATTGGGGAGGCTTTTTATCCAACATTTCCCAAGAAAGGGGGGGTGCAAGTGTTGGGAGGATTGTTCATTGTTCTTAAGATCCAAGGGTCTGGGTCTGTAGTCACCTAGGCAAATTGGTGAGGCTTTTTACTAAACCTTGTCCAGGAAGTGGGGTGCAAGGTTTTGGGAAGTATTTTGGGGGGAAAGACGCGTCCAAACAGCTCTTCCCCAGTAACCAGTATTAGTTTGGTGGTGGTAGCGGCCAATCCAAGGACAACGGGTGGAATATTTTGTACCTTGGGGAAGTTTTGACCTAAGCTGGTAAAGATAAGCTTAGGAGGTTTTTCATGCAGGTCCCCACATCTCTACCCTAGAGTTCAGAGTGAGGGAGGAACCTTGACAATGATTCTATGATGTTATCTAGGCATAAAAAACAAGATTTATGGCTCAATTCACTCAGCCCCCCAGTGGTAGAAAGTAGTCTTGAGAAGGGTTGCAGAAGCATGATGAACCTACAACCCTCTCTCAATGGGGCGGGGGGTGGGGAATCAGAGCCAGTGAGCACCGCACAACTAAAAACTAACTAAAAACTATTTCCCCATGCTAATTTCCCCCCCTACTATTACTCACACCTTCTTGTCAACTGTTTGAAATGGGCCATCCTGATTATCACCACAAAAGTTTTTTTTCTCCTGCTGATAATAGCTCACCTTAATCGATTGGTCTCACTACGAGTTCGTATGGCAGCCTCCATTTTTTCATGTTCTCTGTATCTATCTATATCTATCTATCTATCTCTTCCCACTGTATTTTCCACTGCATGCATCTGATGAAGTGAGCTATAGCCCACGAAAGCTTATGCTCAAATAAATTGGTTAGTCTCTAAGGCGCCACAAATCCTCCTCGTTCTTTACACAGAAAATAGGCTCTGCTGGCCTGGCTAAACAAGGGAAAGCACACTTTCTAGGTAGCCTCATCTGATTACAACTTTAAAACAAACCCACCCACATATATATTTGCATTCAATAGAAAAGGATGCATGGTCTTACATCAGGAAAATAACACTAAGAAAAGTTTGGTATGACAAACTTTGCCCTTGTAATACATTTGTTAAGATAAAGGCAGTAGCCGCTTCAGAATGTTCACACACACACATGTTATTTTAATGCAATTATATTTTTTCTTTTTTAGAATAAATGTATACTAATGTTACCAATCGCATGATGTCAGTGCTTGTTTTTATGGTTAGATATCAGCCTGTTGCTAGATACCTTGTGACTAGAATCAGCTATTTGGAGACAGAGGGATTGTCACTTCTGCTCAGAGTTAGCTCTACATCTGTGAAAGGTGGCTTGCTGTGTGTAGCCCCGCAATTGGTCGGAATCTATTTCAGTCCTGCTGTGTACAGTATAAGCTGCAGCGTACTAAGATACTCTAACATCTCAGGACCACACTTTTAAGATAGGTGCCAAAGGAAAACAGCTGAACATTAGGGGTCATTTTTTCCCCCAGTCAGGGGTACAGTGTTTTGTACCCTCATCTCTCCACTGGACACAATTTTCTTCTGTCCACCCAGGAGGTGGCCCCCGCTCCAGGAGAGGCATGGGGGGGGGGTCCTGAGGCGCCCCCGCTCCAGGAGAGGCATGGGGGGGGGTCCTGAGGCGCCCCCGCTCCAGGAGAGGCATGGGGGGGGGTCCTGAGGCGCCCCCGGCTCCAGGAGAGGCATGGGGGGGGGTCCTGAGGCGCCCCCGGCTCCAGGAGAGGCATGGGGGGGGTCCTGAGGCGCCCCCGGCTCCAGGAGAGGCATGGGGGGGGGGTCCTGAGGCGCCCCCGGCTCCAGGAGAGGCATGGGGGGGGGTCCTGAGGCGCCCCCGGCTCCAGGAGAGGCATGGGGGGGGTCCTGAGGCGCCCCCGCCTCCAGGAGAGGCATGGGGGGGTCCTGAGGCGCCCCCGGCTCCAGGAGAGGCATGGGGGGGTGTCCTGAGGCGCCCCCGCTCCAGGAGAGGCATGGGGGGGGGTCCTGAGGCGCCTCCGCTCCAGGAGAGGCATGGGGGGTCTGAGGGTCCCTTTCTAGGCGAGGGACGGGGGGCTCTGAGGCGGCGCGGCCGGTCTCCTCACAGCTCCCTCCCGGCACTACCCGGTTCAGCCTCCACGGCTCTACGGGCCAACCAGCCTTACCCCCCCTTCATGCCCCGCCCCCGCCTCTGCTCATTGGCTGCATGTGACAGTAAGCACGCTGCGATTGGCTAGCCGTGGCTGGCAGGGTAGGTTGCGCCCGGAGGGTGGCAGGTGAGTGCGGGGAAATGGCTGCGCTCTGCGATTTAAACCAGTAATGGAGCGGTGTGCCGCGGGGCCGGCCGCGGGGCCGGGAGGAGTAGGGGGTCGGTCCCGGGGCGGCGGGGCCGGGCGGACGGGTCGGGTCGCTCGGTCCCGGGCCGCCGGGGGGAGCCGGGGTCGGTCGTCGGTCCCGGGGGGGGGCCCGAGGCGGCGGGCTCGGGCTCGGGGACGGGGACGGGACGGGGACGGGGACGGGGACGAGGCTGGGGTCGGTCCCGGGGCGGGGGTCCTGGGCCATCGCTGCTGCGCGTGGAGGGAGGGCGCGGTTTTGGCGGGGCTGAGGGACTCTGCCTGGGGCCGGGGCGCGGTGTACCCGGGGCCCCAGCGAGCTCGCAGGCCCCGGCATGCGGGTCGGAGTTGTCCTCCACCTCAGTCAGAGGCTGGGGGAGCAGGTCACCCTGGCCTGCGCTGGCTGCGCCCCTGGGTGCCGGCCTCTGGCCACCTCTGCTCCCTTCACGCCTTTCCCCCGCTCGCTGCCTCTGCATCTCACAGAGCTCTGGCCGGTTTGGGGAGCCAGGAGGTGTGAGCTCGGCGCCAGGCTCGTGGCTTCACAGCAGGGCACTCCCTATTCTCCGCAGCCTGACAGCCGCTGCCTGGGTTGCTGCGAAGCCCTCTGGGATTCTTTGAGACTGGGGGGAGAGCTGATCCCCAACAGTCTTTCAGGGCTCTCCTCTGAAATAGCTGTCATTCACCCGCGGACTGGCTAGCTTTTGAAGGGTATCAGTGCCAAAGACTGCTATAATGGGCTTCCTCCGCTGTCAAAGTCTCTCAAGCATGAAATCAAATTAATAATACACAAGTTTAACAGAGGTTTGAAATTCCATTAAATGCACCACAACACTGCAAACTGCTCCAGTCCTGCTACTCTGGAATCTCTTTGTTAGGTCTTTATTTGACCCTCATGAGGCTAACTTAAAATAGTAGGAGAATTGGGCTCTTTCTGCAAAGGGTGACACTAGTGGACAGTCCAGAACATATGGTAACTTGAGCCCATCCCTTTCAATCTGTAGGCCCTCTTACGTTTTCCTGTTCAAATCTTTGAGTGGGCTAAGACTTATGAGGGGTTTGTGTGGAGAGAGCCCTTGTTCAAATTTCTAATTGTGGACTTGCTTAGTGTTCAGTGGTTTGGAGTGCATCACAGAGTGGCAGAAGAGTCAGCCTAACCAAGGTTCAGGCAAACCCAGGTGGTGGTGTGAAGCTGAAGGAGAAATACTTTGCATTTATTTTGGAAGTAGCAATGACCTTCCTTGACGGGTTTTGAGAGGTCAGGTGTGTCCAGGGTCTTCCCCCTGAAGCGATGTCCTTTTTGAAGCACTGTGTGCTGTTGTCCTAGCTGAGAAGATCAGTAAGGTTAGAAACCAAGCCTTACCCTATGCCGTGGCCTGCTTCCTACACAGTATGGTTGTGGTGAAGGAAGGGGCCCTTCCCTCCACTTTGGGTGGCAGGGAGCAGCGGTTCGGGGCCCCTTTAGCACCCTGGAAACAACAGTGGAGCTCCACTCCTGTTGGGAGGGACAGCAGTGGCGGGAGGGACAGCAGTGGCAGCAGGGGTCCTCTCCTGCCTTGGCAGAGAGGAAGGAGTGGCAATAAGGGGTGGTGTTTACCCTAGCAGTGAGGGTGTGTTTGCCTGAGGAGAGCAGTGTGTCTAGCCACTTCTTCCCCTTCCACATGGATCTTCTCTAGTCTAGGATTTAAAGTTGTGATATTAACATGTTGGGTAACATTACACTCTTAAATCCTAGTCTAGACAAGGCCACGCAGTTCTCTGCTAGTGGTGTTGGTGGGGCCCCCAAAGCTTTGGGTCATGGAGTTCACTACACCATTGAATTGCGTGCAGCAGTTCACCTCCTGAGCTAATATAGACTCTGCAGATTCTAGCAGACATCACTGCATCTGATACTCATTTCACCTCTTTTAGGTTTGTCCTCACAAATGAGGGCTAGAAACTCATTTTTAAATGAAAGCTGAACTGCTGAAGGTATCCTATGACTTCAGGAATATAATATATGCCTTAAGATGGCTTTGGTTAGAGCGACACTCTTGGACCAAACAAAAATATCAAGTTGAGAGAGCATAAATGCATCTGCTGCCTTGGCTGAGTTGGATTGTGTCTCACGCTGGGGCATGCTGGTGATCTTTCATGGGGAGAGTGGCTTAGAACTGTAACCTGCAAATGGGGCCCTTATCAATGAACCAATTATCAATGCTTCCTTATGGCCTAGTGTGGATAAGGCACTACCCTTGGAGTCAAGAGACCTGGATTCAATTGCCAGCTCAGTCAGACGTCCTGTGCGACTCTGGATAAGTCGTTTGCTCTGTCCTGTGTTACAGGACTGTTGTGAAGATCAAGTCTTCTAATGATTGAGAGGCTTAGATGCTGTGGTAGTGAGGGCTATGTAAACACCAAGACAGGAATGCTGCAGTCAGGGTGTGTGGTCCCATACAGAGACTGTTCCTGTCCTGGAGATTTTATGATCGAGAATACCAAGGTGGATTTGATTTAAATCAAATTGATTTTAATCATGATTTAAATCACTAGTCACGAAGACTCGATTTAATCATGGATTTCTACATAAAAGTGCATTCTTGTTGGTTGTTATAACCTTAATACATATTCTTCACAACTCAGTGATAGATGAGACCCAAAGTGGGTCTCTTACGGCCTGCTGCCATTATAGGTTTTCCCTTCTAGTGAGAGAATGGTATGGTAGATCTCAAATCAACGAAGGCTACACTCAGAAAGACCTCAAGACTTCTGGAATATGCTGCTCAAACAATTTCACTTTTGTTTCCACTGCCTGTCCCTCCCTTCTCACATTTATCTCCAGACGTCTTCTCCTTGTCCAGATCTATTCCGCCCCCAACAATCTTCTATTCATTGAACTTTTTGAAACTTTGCACTTTTAGAGAGAGGCAAGGGATTGACTCTGTGTACACAAATTTGCAGAGGGACAATAGGGTTGAGGTCTGTTATTTCTCACCTCTATATAATTGTTTGTTTATTTATTTAAAAACTGTCTTTGCTGTTAACAAGCATGTTATCTCTGTTGAGAACTGCAAAACTAAGCATCTCTGATGGTATCTTCTAGACGGTAGCACCGAGTCCCATTGGGTAGATAGAACGATTAACCTAAATAATCTATACAGAAGCCCCTGGAACCCCATAAAATTGGGTCTCTAATCCATGAACTATTGGAATTTATTTACAAAACTTTTTTTAAACATTACATGACTATATTGTCTCATACTATAGAATTAGAATTTATAATCCCTATTCCATGATGAGATATCTTTGAGCTATCATGTATCTGAATTAAAACTATCTTTAGATAGGTTTTTTCCTCAAAAAACATTTTATTAAAAAATACGATTTAAATTAAAAAAAATCTGTTTTTTTTTAAAATCCATTGATTTTTATCCACCCTGGAGAAGACACACGTTGACAAAGTGTTGGCAATGGCTATATAATACAAAAGCAATTGCATATGGTGTGCCAAGGTTCCACCTCTGCTAGAGAAAAGGATCTTGAAGCCAAGGATTAATCCAGTTACACAGTTTCAGGCCTTCATTTTCTGGGAGTGGGTATCTGATAGAAACTTTCCATGGGGCTGATATTGGTGTCTGTGTAATGGGTGCCCAATTGCCTTTGCAGACTGGTGGATGAAATTATCAGAGTGTGTAGATCATGATGATGTAAGTTTTATCTAAATTAAGTGCAGTGCATTCCCTTAAAAAATGTCTCTCTCCTATACTTCCTACAACTTCATTGTCACTGGTGGAGTATCAGAGAGAGTGCTAATATCCACAGGGCATTATCAGTTTGTCACTGATACTACTCAGAGCAGGTCTAGATGACATGGTGGTAAAACAGCCAGTGGCTGCCTGGGCTCTGCTGGTGCGCCTACTGTAGCTACCATTGTTGGAGCTGGGCTGGTGGTGTTAATGCAATGATGAGAGTTTTAGGGGTTGGAGTGGGGTAAGGTGACATGGAGGCCTGGAGACAGAGGCGGCTGCATATAACAGCATGGTGGCACGCTCTCTGGGGTTTTGTCTGGCCATAGCATAGCAATAGTTATCCACCTAGAGGAGAGCCAACCTGCTGCTGCTGCTGGCTGCTGCTTGCTTTTCTCAGTCTTTGTTTCCCTTGACCTTAGTGCAGCATTCAACATGGTGGCCCACTCTCTTCTCTCGAACTCGGCTTTCTGTTGTGCTTCTGTTCCTGCCTCTCTCCCCTCTGTCTCCATAATTATAGTTCCTGTGCACCAAAATCCTTCCTTTATGGAATCCTACTAGGTTAAATTCTTGGGCCTTTGCATTCTGTCTACCTGCTCCCTCTCTGTCATCACTTTATAATTCTAAAGAATACCTACTGCTTATAGTCAACTGTACCAATCTTCCAGCAGCTTTAATAATTCCACACTCTGGGGCGTCTTGGCCTGGTAAAATTATGGTTTCATCTCTTGCGAGCTAAATGTCTGAGCCAATAGTAACTTTCCTAAGTAAGAGAAACCTCCTCAAGTACAAGTCCATCTCCTCTATCACCCATTTGCATTCACTACAAATTATAACAAACCAAATTAAGCTATATGGGTGTAAAGCACCCTTCTACTGATCTGAGTCTCCACGCAGGAAGGCTGCACTGAATTAATTAAATTGATTTTGGTTGCTGTGATTTCTCTGTGAAACCTGGGTCTCCTAGATAGGAATCTGCAGAATTGGAGAGTAGTTGAGTTGTTTCCTGGCCATGGCCCATTTAATGTGTGTGGAAGGCTTGTGGCGCCATGAAACTACTTTTAAAGCCGTGGTCCAAGATTGCAGCCAGACAGAATGGATGAAAATAACAATTATTTAAAGAACAGATATGTTAGATTTAAAACTATTTTTAATTGAACTTTTTAAAAAATGTGTGTTTAAACTCTAATGTATGGAAAAACTATGCCTGCCTGGGGAGTGCATACAAAGGGGTGCCTATTTTTTTGTCAATTGAGCCCTAAGTGACCTACTTATGATTTAGATCTCAAGAAATCCTGACTTCCGGTCACGTGCTCTAAATATTGCTTCCCATTCTCCATGGAGTGTCTTGAAATTCTGCTACCCCCACCATACTAACTTAAGTGCCTTGTGTGATTTGTCTTTTTTTTTTTTTTGTAGGCCTTCCTGACTGGCGAAGGGATTGAAGCTTGGGGATTGGGAAGCAGTCTTCATTCTCTCCTTCGCTCCCCCCCCACCCTCTTGAGTATCAGCTGGTGTTCTCAAGGATGGGAGATTGATGTAGTCAGCAGTCTGGAACGTACAGCATTGTAAGGGCTAAGATTCATCGCGTCCAACTCATTAACTTTAGCAATGACACCATTCCCCTCCCAGCTAGTGCAGATGGATTAATTGCACATTGGAGGTGCCTGTTTGAAATGGCACTGGATGCTGGGCTCCCCCAGCCTGCTCTCAGGGCACCTTCCAATATCACTGGCTTCTGCCCCCACCCAGCCTAAAGTCTTCTTCCTCCAGCCCCAGGCGCCTTCCACCAGTACTGCTATTACATTCCTGGGTTCATTCACACAGCACTAGTCCGGCCCCACCCACCCTAGGCTCTCTTCAGTGGCATCAGCCCTGGCTTGCTCCCCATTGTGGGTTCTTTTTTATCCTGGTTTGTACATGATGATTCCAGAGCGGGATGGTCGGCCACCCAGGCTGTAATGTCGTCCCTGACGACCTCCCATGAGGGCAAGAGCACCACTCCCAGGTTTTTTGTTGGTACCAGAGATGATGAGACAGACTTTCTGGGATCAAACATGAAGACAGACGAGATTGATTTCTTTGAGGACGATGAGGAGTCAGAGTCGGTAAGTAGGTCCTGGTGCTATGGAGTGGGGTGCTTGTGTGTGTCCCATGTCCAGCTTTCTTCTCGGTTGCTTAGTTTTTACATGTGTGGTTACTTTTGAGGTTCCAGGCTGTCACAACCTGCAGGCCATACAAACCAGGCAGTGTGCATAGTAGTATGGAAATGTAATGTCCTAGATCCCCATCACTAAGGCTATGATTTTCTCACGGAGATCACGGAAGCCATGGAATCGGTGACTTCCTCTTCAGCTCCTGGGACCTGCAGGGTCTCCCTGGCAGGGGCCCCCCTGTAGCTCCTGGCTACAGCAAGGGAACCCCAGAGTTCCAGGCCACCTGCAATGGGGCCCCCAGAGCTCTGAGCTGTCCAGGGGTGGTGGGGGGAACCCGGACCTGAGCCCCCCATTTTGTCACAGATATTTTTAGTAAAAGTTATGAACAGATCACAGGCTTCCATGAGTTTTTCTTTATTGCCCGTGACCTGTCCATGACTTTTACTAAAAATATCCGTGACAAAAATCTTAGCCTTACCCAACACCAAATGCAGCACAATTGCTCCACTGTTCTCAGCACCCAATGCTCGGGCAAATTCTAGGGTTTTCTCTTTCAGGTCCTTTAAATGGTGGTAGCAACAGGGTGGGCTTGGCTGCTTCGCCCTTATATTGGATCACAGATCATCTGTACCCTGATATTACAGGCTGCAGAAAAGAGTAATCTCCTTCTGCTAGTGACTGCTTCCTTTTGCCTCTGTTTGCAAACCCCCTGACTGGCCTCTCTCCCAACCCCCTTTGTAAGTGGGATTAATTCAGAGGTGCAGGCACTGCTGTACCTTTTCCTTCCTTTGGAGCTCTATTACCCCTTTATCATTCTTAGTTACTTGAAGAAATTCACCATGAATAATGCAGACAGACCGCACTGAAGTTACCACGTGACAGTGTTTTCTGTGTGGCACTGGCCAGGGGCCCTCTGGGGGGCTTTGCAGGACTTCCATCTGTAGCTTTATGGGTTCTGACCCTTTGGCCTCGGGTGTGTGATATGGGCTGAGCCTCCGAGGGTGAATCATAGAATCATAGAATATAAGGGTTGGAAGGGACCCCAGAAGGTCATCTAGTCCAACCCCCTGCTCGAAGCAGGACCAATTCCCAGTTAAATCATCCCAGCCAGGGCTTTGTCAAGCCTGACCTTAAAAACCTCTAAGGAAGGAGATTCTACCACCTCCCTAGGTAACGCATTCCAGTGTTTCACCACCCTCTTAGTGAAAAAGTTTTTCCTAATATCCAATCTAAACCTCCCCCACTGCAGCTTGAGACCATTACTCCTCGTTCTGTCATCTGCTACCATTGAGAACAGTCTAGAGCCATCCTCTTTGGAACCCCCTTTCAGGTAGTTGAAAGCAGCTATCAAATCCCCCCTCATTCTTCTCTTCTGCAGGCTAAACAATCCCAGCTCCCTCAGCCTCTCCTCATAACTCATGTGTTCCAGACCCCTAATCATTTTTGTTGCCCTTCGCTGGACTCTCTCCAATTTATCCACATCCTTCTTGAAGTGTGGGGCCCAAAACTGGACACAGTACTCCAGATGAGGCCTCACCAATGTCGAATAGAGGGGAACGATCACGTCCCTCGATCTGCTCGCTATGCCCCTACTTATACATCCCAAAATGCCATTGGCCTTCTTGGCAACAAGGGCACACTGCTGACTCATATCCAGCTTCTCGTCCACTGTCACCCCTAGGTCCTTTTCCGCAGAACTGCTGCCTAGCCATTCGGTCCCTAGTCTGTAGCGGTGCATTGGGTTCTTCCGTCCTAAGTGCAGGACCCTGCACTTATCCTTATTGAACCTCATCAGATTTCTTTTGGCCCAATCCTCCAATTTGTCTAGGTCCCTCTGTATCCTATCCCTCCCCTCCAGCGTATCTACCACTCCTCCCAGTTTAGTATCATTCGCAAATTTGCTGAGAGTGCAATCCACACCATCCTCCAGATCATTTATGAAGATATTGAACAAAACCGGCCCCAGGACCGACCCTTGGGGCACTCCACTTGATACCGGCTGCCAACTAGACATGGAGCCATTGATCACTACCCGTTGAGCCCGACAATCTAGCCAGCTTTCTACCCACCTTGTAGTGCATTCATCCAGCCCATACTTCCTTAACTTGCTGACAAGAATACTGTGGGAGACTGTGTCAAAAGCTTTGCTAAAGTCAAGAAACAATACATCCACTGCTTTCCCTTCATCCACAGAACCAGTAATCTCATCATAGAAGGCGATTAGATTAGTCAGACATGACCTTCCCTTGGTGAATCCATGCTGACTGTTCCTGATCACTTTCCTCTCATGCAAGTGCTTCAGGATTGATTCTTTGAGGACCTGCTCCATGATTTTTCCAGGGACTGAAGTGAGGCTGACTGGCCTGTAGTTCCCAGGATCCTCCTTCTTCCCTTTTTTAAAGATTGGCACTACATTAGCCTTTTTCCAGTCATCCGGGACTTCCCCGGTTCGCCACGAGTTTTCAAAGATAATGGCCAATGGCTCTGCAATCACAGCCGCCAGTTCCTTCAGCACTCTCGGATGCAACTCGTCCGGCCCCATGGACTTGTGCACGTCCAGCTTTTCTAAATAGTCCCTAACCACCTCTATCTCCACAGAGGGCTGTCCATCTCTTCCCCATTTTGTGATGCCCAGCGTAGCAGTCTGGGAGCTGACCTTGTTAGTGAAAACAGAGGCAAAAAAAGCATTGAGTACATTAGCTTTTTCCACATCCTCTGTCACTAGTTTGCCTCCCTCATTCAGTAAGGGGCCCACACATTCCTTGGCTTTCTTCTTGTTGCCAACATACCTGAAGAAACCCTTCTTGTTACTCTTGACATCTCTGGCTAGCTGCAGCTCCAGGTGCGATTTGGCCCTCCTGATAACATTCCTACATGCCCGAGCAATATTTTTATACTCTTCCCTGGTCATATGTCCAACCTTCCACTTCTTGTAAGCTTCTTTTTTATGTTTAAGATCCGCTAAGATTTCACCATTAAGCCAAGCTGGTCGCCTGCCATATTTACTATTCTTTCGACTCATCGGGATGGTTTGTCCCTGTAACCTCAACAGGGATTCCTTGAAATACAGCCAGCTCTCCTGGACTCCTTTCCCCTTCAAGTTAGTCCCCCAGGGGATCCTGGCCATCCGTTCCCTGAGGGAGTCGAAGTCTGCTTTCCTGAAGTCCAGGGTCCGTATCGTGCTGCTTACCTTTCTTCCCTGTGTCAGGATCCTGAACTCAACCAACTCATGGTCACTGCCTCCCAGATTCCCATCCACTTTTGCTTCCCCCACTAATTCTACCCGGTTTGTGAGCAGCAGGTCAAGAAAAGCGCCCCCCCTAGTTGGCTCCTCTAGCACTTGCGCCAGGAAATTGTCCCCTACGCTTTCCAAAAACTTCCTGGATTGTCTATGCACCGCTGTATTGCTCTCCCAGCAGATATCAGGAAAATTAAAGTCACCCATGAGAATCAGGGCATGCGATCCAGTAGCTTCCGTGAGCTGCCGGAAGAAAGCCTCATCTACCTCATCCCCCTGGTCCGGTGGTCTATAGCAGACTCCCACCACTACATCACTCTTGTTGCACACACTTCTAAACTTAATCCAGAGACACTCAGGTTTTTCTGCAGTTTCGTACCGGAGCTCTGAGCAGTCATACTGCTCCCTTACATACAGTGCTACTCCCCCACCTTTTCTGCCCTGCCTGTCCTTCCTGAACAGTTTATAACCATCCATGACAGTACTCCAGTCATGTGAGTTATCCCACCAAGTCTCTGTTATTCCGATCACGTCATAGTTCTTTGACATCACCAGGACCTCCAGTTCTCCCTGCTTGTTTCCAAGGCTTTGTGCATTTGTATATAAGCACTTGAGATAACCTGTTGATTGCCCCTCATTCCCAGTGTGAGGCAGGAGCCCTCCCCTCACAGACATTCCTGCCTGTGCTTCCTCCCGGTATCCCGCTTTCCCACTTACCTCAGGGCTTTGGTCTCCTTCCCCCGGTGAACCTAGTTTAAAGCCCTCCTCACTAGGTTAGCCAGCCTGCTCGCGAAGATGCTCTTCCCTCTCTTCGTTAAGTGGAGCCCATCTCTGCCTAGCACTCCTTCTTGGAACACCATCCCATGGTCGAAGAATCCAAAGCCTTCTCTCCGACACTACCTGCGTAGCCATTCGTTGACTTCCACGATTCGACGCTCCCTACCTAGGCCTTTTCCTTCCACGGGGAGGATGGACGAGAACACCACTTGCGCCTCCAACTCCTTTATCCTTCTTCCTAGAGCCACATAGTCCGCAGTGATCCGCTCAAGGTCATTCTTGGCAGTATCATTGGTGCCCACGTGGAGAAGCAGGAAGGGGTAGCGATCCGAGGGCTTGATGAGTCTCGGCAGTCTCTCCGTCACATCACGAATCTTAGCCCCCGGCAAGCAGCAGACTTCTCGGTTTTCCCGGTCAGGGCGGCAGATAGATGACTCAGTCCCCCGGAGGAGAGAGACAAGTATTGTACCATAAATAGAAGGGGGAGCTGTGTTCACATGAAGTGTGGTGGTGGACTGGATGGGAATAAGCAGAATGTTTTCTTATGTGAAAATGATGAAGTAGCTCCCTAGAGAGTCCTCTGTTTCTCTTGCTGCTGGAGGGAGGGTGTTGAAACTGACAGGGTGTCAAGATGTTTTCTTGATATCTGGTTTAATAATGTGGTGGTTGGGGGCATGAGGGATTTGAATCCCTTGGTCTCTCCCCTTGCCATATTGTCCTGGATTGTAGTGTTCATGTCACTGCTTCATATTTGTCTGGGGCACATAAGAGCCTAGATGGAGGTTGCAGAGCATTTCCTATTGTAAATATTTCCTTAAACATGTTGGTGTGGGTCAGTGACCATTACAAGAAGAAGAGAAAAATTGTTCTCCTTAACCCCTGAAGATAGGACAAGAAGCAATGGACTTAAATTGCAGCAAGGGTGGTTTAGGTTGGACATTAGGAAAAACTTCCTACCTGTCAGGGTGGTTAAGTACTGGAATAAAGTGCCTAGGGAAGTTGTGGAATCTCCATCATTGGAGATTTTTAAGAGCAGGTTAGACAAACACCTGTCAAGGATAGTCTAGATAATACTTAGTCCTTCCATGAGTGTGCAGGGAACTGGACTAGATGACCTCTCCAGGTCCCTTCCAGCCCTGCAATTCTATGATTCTATCTCTTCTTCTGGGGTATTTAGCTTATTGTCAAAATCCTTCTAATAAGACGGTGTGACGTTATTGACATAACCTGGGACCGTATAGCTCATGGGCCATCAAGCAGGCTAAGCAGAGCTGACACCAACTTGTCTGGGGTGTCCCGAGAAGCATAGCATAAGTTTGAAGTACAGAGCCAATATTCATACCTTCAACTATAAAAATGGTACACATATACAGATAGCATAATCATAACCAGCAAACCATAACCTTGTTTTAGATACCTCATCTGACTCTCTTTATATAAGATTTGGTGCAACAACAGGACCTTGATTGCAAGAATGATCTATATGTTCCCAGGTTATGTCAATAACGTCACAGATGGTTTGTCTGAAGATCCCATTTGTGCAGGATTCTGACTCCCAGGTCTAAGCTTTTTATTAAGAGACCAGTAGAACTCCTCTGACTCTTAATGGTTTTTACCCTTGCGGCCAGTGGTAGTGGGAGTAGAGTGCTAGCCAAAGCCCCTTACTGAATGCTACTCCCACATGTAGATGCTGACCTCTGAACGCTCCAGTCAGTCCCTACTCTTTCCTTGACTCTGTTGGCAAAGAAGCGCCCCGCAGGAGGCTGGTCTCATCATCTCTGCTCCTGTCCTTCTAAAAGCATACTGCCATGCCTCATCAGGTAGAAACATTGGCACAACAAGGGCCAAGCTATTTAAAAAACAGTCATTCTAGCAGCTGCACTGGCTGTGACTGCTGGAGTCAGGTTTGCAGAGAATTCTCATTCTGACTCTTAGTTTTCATACACTCTTAATCTGAAACATTTGTGTTTATCTGAATTCTCCTGTTTGTGGTGTCTTGTCATAGGGGACTTTAAAAAAAAAAAAAAAAAGAAAGAAAAGGGATGGGGGGTGTTTGCACAAATTTTCTTGAGTTCTTTTGGTGTTACTGGTGGGGAATAGGGGAGGAAGTTACTCACTGTTTTTAAGAATAAAAAAAATAATTATAAGCATTTTTGCAGATTCAGCCCATGAACTTTGTGGTAAAACTGCTTTTAAAGATGGCAATTTCTAACTGCAGAATGAGTGCTGTGTGGAAGGGAACATGTGCAAATTCTCATGCTTGTCCATGATCTGTGTTTGCTTGGCTGTGCATGTGCTTGTGTCACCAATGTGTATGTGTGCAAATCACTTTTCGCATGTGTATGCAAAGAGGAGATGTTAGAACCACATATTAGTTAAGTTATAACAAGTTATAAGCTTGCAGTGCTTTAGAGAGTGACTCTGATGCTAGTGTAGATGTTCAGAGATAGGAGGGAGAATCTTCCGTGTGCTGGAGAATCGGTGTTTTAAGATGCTTTTAATAGTTTTCACCTGCTGAATCCTGTGTTGTGGGTGGGATCTAAAGAGAGAATGAAGCATGTGTGTGGGTTGGGGAAAGCCCCATGTCTGTTCACAATTGCTGCCTCTCTATGCCATTTGCAATTTGAATTCACTGAGCAAACTGGCTCAATAATAAGCTTCCTGCTTCTCCCCTCAGCCTCCAGAACGGCAGATTGTGGTCGGAATCTGTGCCATGACCAAAAAGTCCAAGTCAAAGCCCATGACCCAGATCCTGGAACGTCTGTGCAAGTTTGAGTACATCACAGTGGTGATCATGGGAGAAGATGTCATTCTGAACGAGCCAGTGGAGAACTGGCCTCCTTGCGACTGCCTCATTTCCTTCCACTCTAAAGGTAAAGGTCTGTGGCAGCCCCTGCCCCACAGGCCTGGCAGCAGGGAACTTGCATTAATCGCACCTTTTGCTGTTTTTCAGGATTCCCTCTGGATAAGGCAGTTGCTTACGCCAAGTTGTGCAATCCGTTTCTGATTAATGACCTTGATATGCAGTATTACATCCAGGACAGGTAGGGGTTCAGTGCCTGGAGAATCTCCTTCCTTCCCCTGCGGGTGAACTGCCTGGCTGACTCTGGTCTCCCTGAGTGCTATACAAATGCTGCTGCTGCTTCACCTTCCCTGTGCTAGTGGGTAGAAGGGATGGAGGAGGGTTGCCTCTATTTAGCAGGTTTCTGGGACATGATCTCCTCATAACTTCCAGGTGGGATGATGTAAGGGGAAGGAATGGACTTACTCGGATGGAAGCAGGTGTATTTTGACATTTCCTGATTAGTACAGAGTGTGGGAAGGGCAGAGTGAAGTAGGGCAAGGGAGTGAGCTCACAGAATGAGAGATTAGTGAGGACAGGTCAGATCCTGGGGTAGGGAAGCAGGGAGTGGCAGCAGCAAGGGCAGGTGAGATTCTGGGGATGAGCTGGGAACAGCCAGCATTTTTGTAGCTACGTGCTAAAAGGTTAGACTCCTGGAGACCTAGCACTTACTTAGGGGGTCTAGCACTTGCAGCTCCCAGGAACACCAGCTGATTTGTGGGTGCCCAGCGCCTAACAAATTCAGGCTGTATATCTAAATATGGGTTTAGAAGTCAGAGTAGGCAGCAAGGTTTGAAAACTTTGGCCTTGGATGTTTAGGGCTAGAGTGTCACACCCAGCCCTCCCCTTCAAATTTGCATTCCCAAAACGCTCCCCTGGAGTTGTGTGACTGGCATGCCCTCAAGCTCTGATTGGCAGATGCAAAGAAGGTAGTTATTGGTGTGAAAACTATAGCTTCCCCATTTGGGACCTGTGAGTGTGAGAACTCTGCTGCTGTTAGGTGTCCCTGACCAGGGTGGAGGTTTCTTGTGGTATGGTCTCTACCACGCTTACTTGTTGCTGTCCAGTGCTGGAGGGTGTCGAAAGTGGTGCTCTGCTGTGCCTAGGTGTCCAGGTTGGGTGGGTGCAGGTGAGTAGGATGGGCACCCAGCTACCATTAGATTGTGACAAAGTGGGAATATTTTGTAATATTTTTGAGGCCTGTTTGTGCCTCAGTTTCCCCTATATGCTACATTGTTACCCAGTGGGGTGGAAAAGGACTGTTTGCTCTCAGGGCATGCTGAGTGACATAGGTGAGGGTGTTGCCCCGCTGTCTGGGCCTTAGTCTCCATATCAGTGGAGCATCTGAGAAGCCACTGGCAAATCCAGTTGCCAGAACATTGACACCTACCAAGCAATGACCTACAGGGGTATGGACTTCCCCACCTCTACTTAGGGAAGCTGAACAACAACCCCCAGCTTGAGATCAAAGGACAGGAGAGGCATGAGGTGGGGGATAAGAGCTGGCAGCTGGAAGGAGTTGGGGCTCTCACCTGGTCTGATGCAGGAAATCAGACAGCAAGACAGACAGAGCTTGAACCAAGGGGTTCACTGCAGCATGGCTGGGCTTGGGCTGGCCAGAATGGACTGTGCTTTAACCTTCAGTTCTCTATACTACCCTAAAGCCTCCCTAAGCTGTGTTCCAATTGATTAATAAACCTGACTGTTTTCACAAAGTTGTGAGTGTCACTACAAACGCTGGGTGAGGTGCATTAATTCCCTAAGAGTGTACAAGTCTCCATCAGGATTCTGAGTTGGACTTGCTGCATGGTGCTTACGGTGGGAAGCAGGGGGGCTGCAGGCTCAGAGGTACAGTCTAAGGAGATGGGGAAGCTGCGTGGCTTACCCTGGAGGAAGAGTGAAACCCCCTAGGAGATCTGGCACACTGAAGGCATTCCTCCAAGAGACCGGGAGCCATAGCACTAGTCCTGTGGATCCATGACATAGGTATCCTAGTTCAGGGTGGGCAATGCTTTGCTGCTCACAGGCATTCCAATCAGGGATGGGAGGTAGACTTCTCTGGGCAGGTGCATGCAGGTGCTTTGCCTCCCTTAGTGTCATGACTGGGGCTTAGGCAGTCAGGTGCAGTGGTCACGCAATGTGGCATTCTTAGTGGTTAGAATAGTGGCTGTTAGAGGCCAGGAACATCTCCGACAGTCAGGAACCTGGGGTCAGAGCTGGGGTCAGGGATCCCAAGAGAAAGCCGAGAGGCAGGTCCATTGCTACAGCTGGCAAGGGAGTCCACCTTGCTGCATAGGCATTCCTGGAACTCCTCTTGGGCTTCAGTGGGACGGCTGGACCAGTAAGGGACCACAAGGAAATCTCTTGGTCTGGGCTTTCAAGGTGTAACTTCCTGTCGTGTCTGTCTATGTGGTGATGCCTGTGGTCCTTCCATGGCTCCCGGGTGGTGGCATGAGGGTGCCAGCCATCCTGCAGACCTGGGTTCTAGTCCCATCCACGTTGAACCTCAAACCTAGACCTTGTTGCATTCACTCTACTTAGTGATAAATCTCCAAGTTTTGTGTCGAGGTCACAGCCATGACCTTTCCGCCTATTGTGTTGGCTGCCACTGACTTCTTGCCCTGTCCCTGCAGGCGAGAAGTGTACCGGATCCTGCAGGAAGAGGGCATAGACTTGCCCCGCTATGCTGTGCTTAATCGAGATCCTGACAAGCCGGATGGTGAGTGTACCCAGGGGGCAGTGGGAGTGACAGATGGCAAGTTCATCTCCCCAGAGAGCTCCGCTTTAGGTGGCTCGGCCTCAGAAGAGTCTGGGAATAGAGCTCGGGTACATAGGGATGCTGATGCTTCTCAACCTCCATTTACAAACAAACTGGCGTGCCTGGCTCCCCTGTGTGCCCTTGGTTACTAAGGCCTCAGAGGGCCAGCCTGATGCTATTCCCAAGTATCCTGTGCAGCACACCCCAAATGCCTGGGCAGTGTGGCTGTGATCAGAGCTGACTCCACCAGAGGAGTGCTTCCAAGGATGGTGCTAAAAGGAACTTGCTGTTAAAGATCAGACCTTGGTGGCAAGCCTGAACAGACATGATTCGCAGTCTATGCTGCTGACCCGGACGTGGGATAGAGGAGTGAGGTGGGGAGGAAGTGGTGAGCTGGATCCTCTGAAGCAGGCTTCCCCCCTTCCTGACCTGCTCCTGCTGTGCTTTGTCTGCAGAGTGCAACCTAGTGGAGGGAGAGGACCAAGTGGAGGTGAATGGAGCCGTTTTCCCAAAGCCGTTTGTAGAGAAGCCAGTCAGTGCGGAGGATCACAATGTTTATATTTACTACCCAACTTCGGCAGGTGGGGGCAGCCAGAGGCTCTTCCGGAAGGTGAGGGGAACTCCAGTTGCCACTGGCCATTGGCTGTGGGGTAGACACTACAGAGCGTGCCTGTTGGCAGATAGATAGAACTCCCATGTGCCTCGAGGCCAGAGATGCACCACTGGAAGGAGAGTCCTTGGGTCTGGGAAAGGCTTGTGGGGCCTCCTGGAGGGAGTGGTGGGGGAATCTGGTTTCAAGCTGACTGAGATTTTGTTGCTTGTTAAATGCAAACACCTATTAATGCCATGTTAAGAACGTGTTGTTAAATCACAGTGAGTCAGGAATTGCTGAAGAAACGGTTCCAGCAGCAGTGCCTGGCTTATGTGCTCAATCACACCACACACACTAATAGAATAGCCCCAAAAAGCCTAGTAGATTTAAAAAAAAAAAAAAGTTGCTCAAGTGCTCATCCCATCAGCATGATCACTAGAGGTCATGGGTAGTACAAGCAAATGCAGTTTTCATTCAGATGCCTTAGCCCCCGACTTCATGCTGGGTGTATCTACGCTACAGAATTAACTCCAGTAGTCTCCCCTTGAATGACTTCCTTGGAGGTTAACCTGCCACGAGGGAGAGTGTCCACCCTACAGAATAGCAGCTGAGTGCGCGTGGATCCATGCTGGAGCTCTGCTCACCTGTGTGGCAGTGCTAGGACTTCCGGAGGCACATCTAACAGTTCCCTACCCTGCACACCACCAATCGCTCTGTGAAGACTGCGTCTCACCCTGGTGCGCGCTCTGCTCTCCGTGTCTGGTGTCACTCTCAAGGCTTTATTTGTCTGTTTTTATCCCTTCCCCCGTGCTTTGTCTGTTTTTGTTTAGCTTGTACGTTCTTTAGGGCGGGGAGCAGCTTTTCCTCCGGGTTTTGAATATGCCTAGCACAATCCAAATACTAAATTGTCAAACAAAGACTATTTAGTGACCGTTAAGGTTGCATCAGAATATGCTCCACCCACCCAAAACCTTCACAACATGGAAATAGGCTGGGGGAAAGACCTGTGCATTTTTTCCACCTTTATATTGCCTACAGTGCTGTTAACACTGCACTCCATATGGCTTTCACTTCTTTTCCTGTAGACACACAACACAAATGCGGACACCAGCGTATCAAACTTGCACTATAATTCATTTACTTCTGTATCAACTAATATCAATAGATCTCCACATCTGACTCCCACATTCTATGCAGCAGGGAAGTTATTCTGCCTTAGCAATGTTGAGGGCACTGCTGAAATTTTGCATTAATGACTTCTTGTTTTTGTATTTCCCTGACTGACATCTAAGTTGGGGGTTTATTGTCTTAGTCAATGATATGGGTAGTGAACTGCATGGGAATTTAAACAGAGGATAGATGAGGTTAGGTTTGAACTTTTGGTCTCCTTTTTTTGCCCTCAGAAGTGAGTGGTGGTGTTCACATATGACAGATTTGCTGTCAAATTGGCAGGTTCGGCATAGCACACAAACTTTCAGTTATGGGTAAAAAGTTATAAAATGCTCTATAGACAAGCACGGCAATTGTATAGCTGGTATTTTGAGCAATCGGTGCATTAAGAGCAGCAATTTGGCTGGAGTGCTGTAGGTTTCTTGCAGAAGGAGGTACAAAAAGGTGAGACACGTGAAAATGCAAAGAGGTGATTTTTGAGCTCTTGTTCTCTCTGTATTGAGTTATTTTTCTCAAACCACCAGGAAATTCAAATAGTGTCAATTTACATTTTGTGGATTGTTTTTTATCATATCAATACGATGTTTTAAAAAGTAAAGGTTTAAAGCTTCCTTTAAATTGAAAACTTCTGACTTAGCGTGAATTATGGAGTTAATACTAGCCCCTCCATAACTACAATATGTGGCAGCTGTTATCCAATAAGTTCTTTTAATGTGCTGGGGACAATGTCTTGTTTCAGAAGGTGGAGGAAGTAATTAGGGGACAGCCACTTTAGATTTGATTCTGACTGACATAGAGGAATTGGAATTAGTTCTGATTGAAGGTTGAAGGCATTTTGGATAAAAGTGATCATGAAATGATAGATTTAATGGTTCAAAGGAAAGGAAGGAGTGAGAGCAGCAGAATAATGATGGATTTCAAAAATATAGAATTCACAGACTCAGAACTGGTAGATTTTCTTCTCATGGGACCTTACCTAAGGGGAAAAGAGGTTCAGGAGAGCTGAAGTTTCTCATAGATAATGTTAAAGGTGGAACAGCAAAAAGGAAACCTATAAAATGTGGAAACACGGACAAATTGCTAAGGAGAAGTATGAAAGAATAGCACAAGAATGTAGGGACCGAATTGGAAAGGCTACGGCACAAAATGCATTATGTACAGCATCAGGTTTCAGAGTAACAGCCGTGTTAGTCTGTATTCGCAAAAAGAAAAGGAGTACTTGTGGCACCTTAGAGACTAACCAATTTATTTGAGCATAAGCTTTTGTGAGCTACAGCTCACTTCAACAAGTACTCCTTTTCTTTTTATGTACAGCATGGGACATAAAAGGACATAAGAAGAAGAGGTTCTATAAATACATTAGGAGCAAGAGGAAAATAGAAGTGTAGGTCCACTATTTAGCAAGGAAGGAGACCTAATAACAGATGATGTCAGGAAGGCTGAGGTGTTTAATGTCTACCTTGCTTCAGGCTTCACTAAAAAGGTTAATTGTGACCAGATCCTTAGCACAATTAACATTGAACAACAAGGAGAAAGGAACACAAGCCAGAATAGGGAGAGAACAGGTTAAAGAATATTAAGGTAAATTAGATGTGTTCAAGTTGTCAGGGCCTGACCAAATTCATCCTCGGGTACTAAACGAACTAGTTGAAGTAATCTTGGAATTGTTAGCAATTATCTTCGAGAACTCATGGAGGATGGGTGAGGTGCCAGGGAACGGAAAAAGTCAAACACAGAATCTGCCTTTAAAAAGGGGAACAAAGAGGACATAGGGAATTATAGACCAGCCAACTTAACTTGATACCTGGAAAGATAATAAATTGGTTAGTCTCTAAGGTGCCACAAGTACTCCTTTTCTTTTTGGAAAGATACCGGAACATATGATTAAAACATCAATTTGTAAGCTCCTGGAGGATAACAGAGTAATAACAGTCCACATGAATTTATCAAGAACAAATCACATTAAACCAACCTAATTTCCAAACCCATCAGGGATTGTCTAGGTTTACTTGGCCCTGCCTCAGTGCTGCAGGCTGGATTAGATGACCTCTTGAGGTCCCTTACACCCTTGCATTTCTGTGATTCATACCCAGTTTCAAGGGTCCCATTCCATCCCTCTTTGCTGCAGCCTTTTGGATTAGGTTGTTCCCAAGGAAGTGCTATTGCTTACATTGCCAAGCTCTTGTGTGGCTGAATTTGATTTTATTTAAACTTCCCATTTAGCTCTTTGTTAGGCAGAGTCCAAACAGTGGAACACTTTATCATAAAAGAGGAGAGTTTGAAGGGAAAGTACTTTTCCCTTTGTGCTGCTAGGTGGCTTGCTGTGTGTTCGTGTGCGAGAGAGACTTATCCACAGTCAAGCAGACTGACAGACTAATAAGTGCTGTTAGGGTGCCTGGCCTGTGTGGTTCCTCACTCTTTTTTCCCCTGCAGCAGTGGATCCTGCATGAGCATATTTTAGCTCACACTGAACACCTCCCTTTTTACCTCCTCTGAGGTTCTCTTCATCTTTCGATTTCAGATCGGTAGCCGGAGCAGTGTTTACTCCCCTGAAAGCAGTGTACGGAAAACGGGCTCGTACATTTACGAGGAGTTCATGCCTACAGATGGCACTGATGTCAAGGTGAGGAGAAGGCTGGAGTGAAAGTGAGGGATGGCTGCCTCCTTGGCCAGACCTTGGGTAGCTGTGGTCTTAGTAGTCTAAGAACTCTGCTGAGAACTCTTTGGAGTGTTCCCTCCAGATAGTCAGTGACAGCACTGCCTGATCAGGGTGAGGATTTAATGCTTGTCTGCTTCAGACATTAAAGAGGAGAGTGTGTGGCACCAAACCCCCTTCCACTTCTCCATATGTCTGCAGCCCAGGTGTGTCCTGGTGGGTTCCAGTTAGTTTGTCTGTCTGCTCAGCTGTAACTTTTTGGAACCTGGCTAGATAATCCAGTGATACAGGCCACCTAGCTCACCTCTGTCTCTGCCCAGGTGTACACAGTTGGGCCGGATTATGCCCATGCGGAAGCCCGGAAGTCCCCTGCTCTGGACGGGAAAGTTGAACGGGACAGTGAGGGGAAAGAAATCCGCTATCCGGTCATGCTGACTGCCATGGAGAAGTTAGTTGCCAGGAAAGTCTGTGTTGCCTTTAAGGTTTGTGCATCTCCCATTCTGTAGGAGTAACAGACTGTTCCCTGAAACATCCTGTTTGTGCCCCAGGCATCCACTTATGCTACAGCCTGTCACCCCAGTGGCCCTGACACCCCTGTGGCTGAGGTCTGTAACCAGTCAGGAAAGCTGAGGGGACACGGGGGTGGGGGGCGAAGGGAGCGGCTCAGAAGTTTTCTGTGTGTTCTCAGCTACATGTGGGCTGAGAACATTTAGCCTGCTTGTGTTACATTGGTTGGTGTCACTCTCTAACTTGTGGCCTGCCATCTGCTACTCCCTTGGCCTGTCCCTTCCTTCACTACTCTTTCCCACTCTCATGTACATTTTGGTGGGTGTTTTCCACCACTTTTTCAGTGTCTGTTTTGCTGTTGGGCCTGTGTACATTAGATGCTTTGTGGCATTGCTACCCCCTGGTTTTGGTCCTGTGCCTGCATGTGGAACTGCTCCTTGCTTTTCTCAGGGGTTCAGCACCAGTGTGGTTGCACCATTCAGAGCCAGTCTTGAAAACCCCTTCCTCTGCACCATTAGAGTAATAATGTGGATAGGAGACCCAAGTATTGCAGCTGCACTGGTTCAGCTGTCTTTCTTGGTGCACGCATCCAGACATGTTCTTCAGCCATGGTCACTATTCCGATGCCATTATCACAGCAGCCACCGGCACTGTCCACGCCACTTGGCCCCTTCAGACTACCACACGTGGTCCCCCCCCCGCACATCTGGAGTCATGGAACTGTTGAGACCCACTGTGAAGCTGTTGGTTCCATACTCTGATTCTCTGCTGCTCTCTGGTCCCCTGGAAACCTCAGTCCTGCCTTCCTGGTCCTTCCTGAGTGGCACACTTCTTCCACACGATTTGCACTGCCAGCACTGTCGGTTCCACCCCTACCAGACCCACTGAGGCGGATTAGGTTTTGTGGGGCCCTGGACCAGAGCAAGTCGGGGGGGGAGCCCCTCACCACCCCTTCCGCCTGCAGTCTCTTCCCTCCCCCTCCCACCCCCCCCCCAAAGCGTTCCTGCCAGGGAGTGGGGGTCTGGTTACGGGGGCTTCCCGTGCTCCGTGGCAGGAGAGGCAGGCAGGTTGGGGTGCGGTGGCGCCCATTTTTCCAGGGCCCCCAATTGGCCGAGGCCTCTGGGCATGGGCCCGTTGGCCCAGTGGGTAATCTGCCACTGTGGACCCATCCTCCGAGTCTGAGTGCTTCTCGGAGCCAGATCCCTCCTTCTCACTTGCCCAGTCTCACAGTCCAGATCCCAGGTGCCGACCACTGTATCCTCATTGAGCCATGGTTCCCTCCGGGGTCTGCCACTGCACAGCGACGCATTTGCTTGGTCCTACTAGCCTCCATGGGACCCGTACTGGGACCGTAGTGTGCCTCTGGCGGCATCCTGCTGACTATCGGCTACCTGCACCGCACCCTCCTCTGCTTATTGTGAAGAGGAGGAAGATATAGTGCAACTGATATTTTGGGTCCCTGTTGGAGCCTGTTCATTGCCAGATGAGGCACTGATCCTGCTCTCCCTCTCCCCACCTGATTATTATAAACAATACCACAACCTGCTTCATCATGTGGCCATAGCTTTTGGGCTCATGCGGGAGGTGATCCAGGATAAACAACACCAGCTACTGGACCTCCTACAACCACCAGGACCTTCACAGACTGCCCTCCTCATTCATGAAGCCATCCTGCAACCAGCACAGATGGTCTGGCATACACCAACCCACTGTGCCCCTACCACCAAGCACTTGGAGAGAGGCGATACTTTGTCCTGTCTAAAGGCACGGACTTCCTTTTCACGCACCCACCTCCCAACTCACTGGTGGTTCATGCAGCGACCAAACATGCTTGCCAACACCACCTCAAGTCACTCCTCTGGACAGGGCAGCCAAGAAGTTGGACCTTTTGGATAGGAAGGTCTACTCTTCTGTGGGACTGCAGTTCTGTATCACCAGCTACCAGGCCCTATTGGAGAAATATGACTTCCTCACATATTCAGAGCTTTCAGAGTTTCAGGCTTTTCTACTGCCAGACAAACAGCAAGACTTCCAGGTGCTGCTGGACAAAGGTCAACTGCTCACCAAGGTGAGCCTCCAGACAGCTGTACAGGCTGCCGACACTGCATCATGCTCATTGGCGACTGGCATAGTACTTCGTCACAACTGCTGTCTCTAGCTGTCTGGGCTCCCTAAGGAGGTCCAGGCCATTCTTGAGGACACTGGAGCAGCATCGACCCGCACGGCCTCTTATAGCCTTGGATGCATCCGTGGACAAGGCACGATGCACGTGCGGGTCAAAGGACATTGATACAATACAAAACTGTTCTGGCTGCAGCACATGGCATGAGTGCGCATCCACATTTGGAATTCAGACCAGGACCACATATCTCGAACCTCCAGTTACTGGTAAGTAGCCTCCTTTTTCTAGCCCTTGTGGTTGAGGACAAAAGCTTGTGGAAAACGGTTCCACACAAATGCCATGGCTGTGGAATTGCAGAACATATGGGACCCTGTCTGAATGGAACCAAACCTATCCACAAGTTCCCCACTTCTGAGCTATGTGCCGGTGAGACCAGGAGTCGAACAGCCTCTGAGGGGTAACGGACCAAATGAATTGGGCTATGTATTGCTATTGTTATGACCTAGCAGACATTCATGTACATTTTGGAGATGTCCAGTGCACTCAGCTGAGACTTAAGACAGCTTACATAGTAGTTGTGCTGTCTTCATCATAGGACTTTGTAATGCTGCTTCTCAGAGCTCTGTATGTGGCTTTTTCCCTCAGCTGAGGTTTGAGCTCAAAGGACTGAGAGCAAGAGTGTAGTCATTTCTCATATACTCTTGACGTGGCACCCAGAGATTATGCTTGTTGTGACAGTTCTGCTGTCCTGGTTCACTTGCTCATGGTGCAGTCCCTTGATCCGACAGGTGTGAATTTATCCGACAGGCTTACCTGAAAGGGCCAGTTACTGGTAAGTAACTCCTCTGTCTCTTTCTCCCAGAATCCATGAAGTGTATGTATTGGTGGTGTGGGGGTGCTGAAACCAGAGAGCCCTAGCCTTCCTGCCAGAGAAAGCAGAGCTTGGAAGGCCTCTGTGGAGCCAAGTTGCACAGTGTATTGGCTAGGCCTGTGCTGCATAGTCCTCTTTCACAGCTGCTGGGCCGGGCCTGTGTTGCCTGCCCCATACCCTGAGCTTTTGGGGAGGTTTGTCTGAATCCCTTGCCTTTTGTTTCCTCCTCATGCAGCAGACAGTGTGTGGGTTTGACCTTCTGCGGGCAAATGGCCACTCCTTTGTCTGTGATGTGAATGGGTTCAGCTTTGTGAAGAACTCCATGAAGTATTATGATGACTGCGCCAAAATTCTTGGGTATGTAAAGAGCTAAAGCCAGAGCGCGTGTGCGTGTGTGTGAGAGAGGGAGCTCCTCCAAGTATGTGGTATAACCCTGCTCACCTTATTCTGGCGAGCTCGGCAAACTGCTCAGCAGGGAACGCTTGCTTTGTGTTTGAAACTTGTAAGTGCTTAGGATGGGGAAGCTCCAGGGTGTAAGGGGTTAATTTCTCTCAGATGCAGATTTGCCAGCCAATATCAACTGTAGATGAGTTGGCCTTCTTATAACCTACGAACCCAGCTACTGTACTGGAGATACTGGGAAAGCATTTGTTTGGACTGATGCAAAGGATGCCAACACGTGCTGCACTCTGGAGCTCTCCTGCTGGGTCTGTGATGTGAAAATCTGACTTGAGAGTGTGTGCAGGACTAAAGGAAGCACCATCTGTGGCATAATGGGTTTTGAGCAAGTCTGTGGTGGAGGGGGATTCTAGGGGAGCTTGTCACTGGGTGCAGATTGCTAAGGGAATGGAATTCCTGTGTTCTGGTCTGTTCCAGGAATATAATCATGCGGGAATTGGCTCCCCAGTTCCAGATTCCCTGGTCCATCCCAACGGAGGCAGAGGATATTCCCATTGTCCCCACAACTTCAGGCACCATGTGAGTATCTGTTAGCCCCAGCAAAGGGTGCCCCCATGGGTAGCCAAGGATTGCCATACTCCCCCTGAGCATTGTGCTTCCCCTCCAAGCATTTGGGTCTATGCAGAACACAAACTGTAACGCACTAGAGAGACCTAATCAAGCTAGGGAAGGGCAGCACAATGAAGGATGAAATTGAGTGTTGAGGAATGCAAACTAATGCACATTGGAGGAATAATATGAACCACTCATATGCCTTCGAGGGTTCTAAAGTAACGATATCCACTCAGGGAAGGGACATGGGTGTCATGGTGACAGCTGCGTGAGCCCCCTGCTCAGTGTGCAGCTGCAGTCAAAACAAACCTGGTAGGATACTGAGGAAATGGGATGGAGAACAATATAATGAAAGTATCATGATGCCATTATATAATCTGTGAGATGTCTTCATTTAGAATACTGTGGTCAATTCTGGTCACCCTGTCATAAAAAGGTTGTACCAGAAATAGATGGGGTGTAGAGAGGGGTGATAATGAACAGGAGCCTGACAAAACTCTCCTATGAAGAGAGAGAGAGAAAAGATTGGAATGATTACCTTAGAGAGGAGACAAATAAGAGGGTAGGATAAAAATATATAAAATAATGACTGATCTGGAGAAGGTAGATCAGGAACTTCTCTTTATTCTTGTATTCTGGGAAAGGTTGTCGAGAACAGTCAATGAAATTGAAAGGTGGAAAATTTGAAGTTGATGAAAGGAAATATTTTTTCACACAAGACAGCCTGTGGAACTCATTGCCACAATTGCATATTGTGTCAAAGTGCTGCATAGGACTCAAAAAAAAAGACTGGCCATTTATATGGATAATAAGCACAGCCAGAGTTACTGTAGTAATTATTGAAAAGTTTTGGAAGCGATATCATCGCTCCTGCTTCTGGGCATAAGCTGGCTTAACTAATGGGGATCAGAGGAAACTGGCTCTGGGGCAGGCTGTCCCAGAACTGCCTGGTGCATGGTTTTTCCGTTTGGTCCTGCCCAAAGGCAGAGACCGGTATCTTGGTGGTCTGGTCTAGTCTGGCCATTCCTGTGTTCCCAAAGTGGGATTGTGCACTTCCTGAAAGCAGTTTGGCACAGTCCAAAGTCCTGTTCCTACAGCTGCCCTAACATCTGGCCCAGCTCACACCTCCAGAATCTCCTGCTGCTTCATGCTTGCACGTCATGCTTGTGAATTCTGTGACTCTGTTGTCTGCTGTGGTGTTAATGTGGCTGTAGCATTTTGACTCCTGTCTTGCAGGCTCTGAACTTGTGTGCCAGTCTGGGTTGGGGTTACCGCATCTGATGATGGGGATTCTCCCAGATCTGGTGTAGGCTTTCTAATACTGAAGCAGACTTCTGAGAGCATGGGGGCAAAAGGGGTTTCCACAAGACTGGGATCTGTCTCCTTGTGTTGGTGTAGGTGTTGGAATGGGAAAAGGAGGAATATATGGAAAGGGTGCTGTCTCCTGACAGGGCTTATGCTTTTTGGTTTCTCCCACGCTAGGATGGAGCTGCGCTGTGTTATTGCAGTGATACGGCATGGAGACCGCACCCCCAAGCAGAAGATGAAGATGGAGGTTAAACACTCTAGGTAATGGGTGCAGCAGAAGGCGTATGGACTCTTGCAGTCAAGAGAAATGATAGGTAGAGGGCTTAGCTGCTGAGATCATGGACCAAGCATGAGAGTCCACTGCATGGGAAGTGGTGCTTTCTCTAGCTGCATTCAGAGCTAATATCTTTCACTCAGTCAAGCTAGCCTGCCCCAGGAAGCTCCTACATTTTCCATGCAAGCACTGGGAGAGGGCAGCTCGGGATGAAGGCTTGTTCGAAGTACAAGATCTTGGACTTTCTGCTGGGCACTTGCAAAGGGAAGGGCCCCTGTCAAGGAGAGAAACCATTGGCTACTCTTTCCTTCTCCTAGTTCAGGCTGAAAGCACCTGTTTTCCTGGAAATTCTGGGGGCAGGAATGAGCCTGTAGACATGCCAGCTCTCACTGAAGAGGCATAGCTGGGTATGTAGGCATGACCATCCTCTTGGCATGGGAAGAACTGAAAATCTGACTAGGTCTGTCTGTCTGTTTAGGTTCTTCGAATTATTTGAGAAATATGATGGCTACAAGACAGGGAAGCTGAAGCTGAAGAAACCAGAGCAGCTGCAGGTGAGGGGAAGACCTCACTGGGGTCACTGTACAGAAGATCTGGGTGATCTGGATCCCAGAGAAAGCTTTATGTGGGGATGGTCAATGGGAGGAGCACTACCTGAGCACTCTCCCCATCACATACACAGCAAGTCATGTCACTAGCTTCCAGCAGGGACTGCTCATGGGCAAGAACCTGAGGAAAGATGAACTGCTGTAGAATCACAATAATGTCAGTCCTGCTGCTCTCCCATCATGGTGCTGTCTCGGTGAGAGAGCGCCTCAGAGTTCGAGAACTGGAGGAATTGAAGGCTTGTGTTTGCTTCTGAGCAGGACAGAGCTGCAACCTGAAAGTGGAAGAAACCAGAACTGGCCTTAACTTATCCTGGCTAAAGCTGTGTCTTGGAGAATAAAATGTCCCCACAGATGAATGTGGGAAACCGTTTCAATGATGTGAGTGGCCATGGAGCTAGGTGCATGCTATCTGAGTGCCCATCCTCCCTGGCACACTGGAAGGAGAGTTGGTGACTGTGGGGCTGGGTGTCCGTAGCCTTGGGGCACTGGAAGGGTAGGGGGTGCAAGCTCTCTGGGTACATGATAGATGGTGCTTGTTATCCCTGACAGGAAGTGCTGGATATTGCTCGCCTGCTAGTGGTGGAGTTGGGAACTCACAATGACACTGAGATCGAGGAGAGGAAGTCCAAACTGGAGCAGCTAAAAACTGTCCTGGAAATGTGAGTAAGAGCGAGTCGCGTGGGGTGGAGGCTCATGTTAGGGCTACCTACTCCCCGGCAGATAATAGTGCAGCTGCAGAAGGGAGACGCGTTACTGAAGCACTGTGTGCTGCTCATGTCCTGCCTGGCCAGTCCCCTAGGGGTGACAGAGGCTGCAGCCTCCTTGTAGGCAGCAGTATCTGGAGGATGACACCAGCAGGGCTTGCTCCGAAACTCTCGCACCACAAGCACCACTTCTTATTTTTTGGGCACTGTAAGCATGACGTCTTCTGGCTTTCGTGTAGAAAGGCCCAGCACCCTGACCTAGCAATGCTCTTGTGACAATTGGGAACTTCCACTGCTGGAGAAAAGGAAAAATCATCCCCTTGATGCACAGCACTTGTGCATGTAATGTCCTCTGTCTAGAGATCTGCAAATGAAATGGAGGTAGCTTTGCTCAGTGAGGTTGTTCTAGCGCCAGGAGTGCGACAAAAGGAAAACTGAAACCTTGATGTGGGCCTGGTGAATCCAGTACCTCTGTAAGGCCAACAAGGCCAAATCCAGAATAGCCTCTGGGGCCAACATAACAGGTGACATGGTGGTCTTATGGCATCTCCTAACATACAGAAGCCCAAATCTAATAAGTAGACCAGATCTCACCTTGTTTGGGCCTAGGAGGCAGCACTATGGGATCTTGTATTTATCTGTCAAAGGTATAGATAGAAATTAGTGTCCAGAGGGTTTCAAACACTCTTAATTTCTGAGTCCAAAAAAGTCTTCTGTTCTCAGACCATTTTGTTAAATGAGGCAGCAGGCAAACCTGCCAGCTTTGTATGCTGGGTCACAGATGTAGAGCACCAGTGCACAACTTGGCCACTTAGTGGTGCTACCAGGAAATGAACACATCCAAGGACTGTAAGAAGGGCATTGCAGGGAGCTTGAATGTCCCTGGCTATGGGGCCAGGATATTGATTTATCTCCCTTTGTGACAGGTACGGACATTTCTCTGGCATTAACCGCAAGGTGCAGCTAACCTACCTGCCTCGTGGACACCCAAAAGCTTCCAGTGAAGACGAAGGTTAAAAACCCCACACGCACTCCCTCTCAGACTGGTTCTAATCCCTGGGGCTCAGTACCTGTGTGCTACTCTGTCACCTCAGCTTGGACTGCACCTTTGGGGTGGTGGGAACTGAGCAGAGTGCTGGTCAGAAGGACGAATGCATGCCTACTCTGCCACTATGGCAAGACCTACTGGAGCTAACACCTGAATGCTTTATGCCATACCCCCATCCCTTAGGGTGGATTGGAGTTCACATGCTCTGTCTTGAACTTCTGTCATTAAGACTGGAAATTTGACCCCTATGTCCCCAAAATCCAGAGCCCCCTAATCATGCACTCACTGAAGTCCATTAGACAGGCTCTCGTTGATCCAGCGCCCACTGAAATCATGCCCATGCTGAGACTCCTCTGCCACTGCCCTGTAGGCCCCCTGGTCTCTGGAGCTTGTGTCCCTATTTTACAGTTTGGTGACTACCTGTTTATCTGTTTTAGATGCCCGTAAGGAGCCCTCCCCATCTCTGCTACTGGTGCTGAAATGGGGTGGAGAGCTGACCCCAGCAGGAAGGGTCCAGGCAGAAGAGCTTGGTCGGGCCTTTCGCTGTATGTACCCTGGAGGCCAAGGTGAGCTTTCCCTCTTGTGCTGCTTATCAGTTCTGGTCTCTGACTGTACACAGAGGCCACATATAGCCTGCTAATTACCACTGGTGATTGGATGCATGTATGCATCTGAATACTTTCTCTTGATTAGGCTCTGGTAGCATATGTGGCTCAGGGCTCCACCACTGCTTTATTTCAGTAACTATTTCTGTTCTGTGTTTGGAAAGAAGAAGGATGATGTGGTTGTGTCACACGAGGATGACTAACTACTTTCCAGTCCATTGTAACAGAGGAGGATGTTAAACAACATCTACTAGTGATAAATGTTTTAAAATCCAGCAGGTCTGGAGAACTTGCACCCGAGAGTCCTAAAAGAGTTGGCTGAGGAGATCTCTGACCTGCTGATGTTAACTTCCAATAAATCTTGGAATACTGGAAAAATTCCAGAAGACTGGAAGAGTGCTAATATGCCAATATTCAAAAAGGGAAAGTGGGATGACCTGGGTGACTATAGGCTAGTTACCATTATTGAAGAATTCGACTAGGAATATAATTAATGCCAATCAACCTAGTTTTATAGAGAATAGGTCTTGTCAAACAAACCTCTGATTTCAGTCTTTGATAGTGCAAGTTTGGTTAATAAAGGTAACTGGATAGATATAAGACATTTGACTTTGTACCACACAACATTCTGATTTGAAAAATTAGCAGTATGTAGTATCCATAGAACACACACTAAATGGATTAAGAACTGAGTGACAGATGTCAAAAAGTGGTGGTCAATGGGGAAATCATCATCAAGTGGGGGTATTTCTAATGGAATGCTGCAGGAATTGGTGGAAGTCATCTTTTTCATCAATACTTCTGGAAGTAAATATAATCACTGCTGATAAAACTTTGTGGATGACACAGATTGGTGGTGTGGTCAATAATAATAGGAAAGTCACAAGAGCTGTCTGGATAGCTTGGGATCATTCAATGAAAATGCACTTAAATACAACCAAATGCAAAGTTATACATCTAGAAGCAAGGAATGCAGATCATACCTGCAGAGTTGGGTCTATATTCTAGAAAGCAAGGACCCTGAAAAGGATTGAGGGGTCACACTGGACAAGCAACTGAACATAAGTTCCCAGTGTCCCAATACGGTCTCCCACGCTATTCTTGCCAGCAAGTTTAAAAAAGTATGGATTGGATGAAAGGACTATAAGGTTGTCCGGCTCGACGGGTAGTGATCAACGGCTCAATGTCTAGTTGGTGGCCGGTATCAAGCGGAGTGCCCCAGGGATCAGTCCTGGGGCCAGTTTTGTTCAACATCTTTATTAATGATCTGGATGATGGGATGAATTGTGAACTTACTGAGGGTACAAGTGATACTAAGCTTGGGGGAGAGGTAGATATGCTGGAGGGTATGGATAGGGTCCAGAGTGACCTAGACAAATTGGAGGATTGGGCCAAAAGAAATCTGATGAGGTTCAACAAGGACAAGTGCAGAGTCCTGCACTTAGGACAGAAGAATCCTATGCACTGCTACAGGCTGGAGACCAACTGGCTAAGCAGCAGTTCTGCAGAAAAGGACCTAGGGGTTACAGTGGATGAGAAGCTGGATATGAGTCAACAGTGTGCCCTTGTTGCCAAGAAGGCTAACGGCATATTGGGCTGCATTAGTAAGAGCATTGCTAGCAGATCGAGGGAAGTGATTATTCCCCTCTATTCGGCACTGGTGAGGTCACATCTGCAGTATTGCATCCAATTTTGGGCTCCCCACTACAGAAAGGATGTGGACAAATTGGAGAGAGTCCAGCGGAGGGCAATGAAAATGATCAGGGGGCTGGTGCACGTGAATTACAAGGAGACGTTGAGGGAACTGGGCTTGTTTAGTCTGCAGAAGAGAAGAGTGAGGGGGGATTTGATAGCAGCCTTCAACTACCTGAAGGGGGGTTCCGAAGAGGATGGAGCTCGGCTGTTCTCGGTGGTAGATGACAGAAAAGTAGCAATGGTCTCAAGTTGCAATGGGGGAGGTTTAGGTTGGTGTGACGTTACTGACATAACCTGTGACCGTATAGATCATTGTTGCAAGCACTGTTATATATTTGCAGCAAATATTGTACAAAGGTTGTTGTGTAAGGTGTCTATTGAAAGGTTATCTGATATCTGTGCAAGCAGTTTGCTGTAGCTGAAGGGTGTAAAAGTAAGTTGATCAAGGAAGTTTCAGTTCCTAACCGCCAGAAATTTTCTGTTGTGAATGGATCTACTGACTTTCCTTTTGAAAGATCCCGTGTGGATAGCTTTAAGAAGGTCTCAGATGGAGTAAAAGCTGTTAAGGAATTTAAACAGCCCTATGACCAAGTGGCTGTGTTTGGCCAGGTTGTTGGAAAGACAACGGTGTTGGAACAGGAATGTCTCCATGCTAATTCTTTAAGTGAGCAGTCTGTGCTTCAGGGTCTAAGGACAGACTTGGTTACTGGTGTTTCAGAGCAGAACAGTTTTTCTGGCTGAATGCTTAAGGATGCAGGGGAAAGCAAGCAAACTCTCTCTCTCTCTCTCCAAACTCTTTGGATTTGTGTGGTATCTCTTTAAGACAAAGTCCAGCCTTGAAATTGGTAGCAGCTAAGAATTTAAAAGCTAGTGTTTGTGTTGATGCAGATTACCTGACTGACTGGAAGAGGAAAGACTTGCTAATAGCTGCAAAGAGTCCTGTGGCACCTTTATAGACTAAACCCACGAAAGCTTATGCTCCAATACGTCTGTTAGGCCATGTCTACACTACCCGCGGGATTGGCGGGTAGTGATCAATCTATTGGGGATCGATTATCGCATTTAGTGTAGACGTGATAAATCGATCCCCGTTCGCTCTGCTGTTGACTCCGGAACTCCACCACAGCGAGAGGCAGAAGCGGAGTTGATGGGGGAGCGGCCGCGAGGACGCGAAGTAAGTGATTCTAAGTAGATCTAAGATACGTCGACTTCAGCTACGCTATTCTCGTAGCTGAAGTTGCGTATCTTAGATTGATTCCCCCCTACCCCCCCAGTGTAGACCAGGCCTAAGTCTATAAGGTGCCACAGGACTCTTTGCCGCTTTTACAGATCCAGACTAACATGGTTACCCCTCTGATACTTGCTAATAGCTGTTAGCACAAAAAGCACACCCAATCAGCCAGTAAATTCTGTTAAGCAAGAGAAATCAGGGTTTGATCCTACAGGACAAGGAGAAAAAAGAAAACTTAATTTGGCAAAGGAAGCCACAGATTAACCCTAAAATACCAAAACACCAATGGTATTGAGCCAAAGGTGTGTCATGACAAAAATGATTGTAAATGGACACTTGCAATGGATTTGTTGCTATTGCTAATGGTAAATTTTGTAACTAATGTATTGCTGTTACCAAGAACTGTAAGAATGTACAGTGTGCCTAATCTTTTGGAAGATCCCTTGAACATGTTAAAAGATACATAAAAACACATGTTAAAAGGCCTTGTAATGCTGATGTTTCAGTTAGTGCCTGTAAACAGTCTTGGAACTTTTCACAGGAGAAAAGACATTCCAAACCTAATGTGCTGTATGAAAAGGGAAACTGAGGCACACCACCATATTGCTTTCACGGCTAAATGCCAAGATTCCTGTACTATGAACAACATTTAATATCTACATTGACTCCATATTGATTGGGTTCCAAACATTTTCCAGAGTTTGTGTAGATAAAGTAGTTACGTTCTGTAGCTCTTGGCAAGATCACATAGACATACAGAAACCATGCTGCAAGAGCAGATCCAATCCAGTATTAGTCTACTCAAGTTTTACCTTGAGTTTATAAAAAGATTCAATCATGCTATTGAACATGGTTTTGATAAGCCATTTCTGTTATACCCCAATACTAGCTGTAGTGAGACAGAACCAAGAATAGGGAGCTCTTGGGATGCAGTCAGTGATGTTTGTCATCCCTTCCTGCATCAATTTTGCATTGGGGGTGTGACGTTACTGACGTAACCAGTGACTGTATAGATAATTGTTGCAACCACTGTTATATATTTGCAGCAAATATTGTACAAAGGTTGTCGTGTAAGGTGTCTATGGAAAGGTTATAATTGGCTGATTATGATTATGCTATCTGTATGGGTGTATAATGTTTGTAGTTGAAGTTATGAATATTGGCTACGTACTTGTATATCAGTGAGTTTTGATTCTAAGTAGCCTCAGTGAAGGTCAGTTTCTTGAGAAGGGACTGTTCTTAGTAAGTGCCCAATCAAGGAACACTTAACTGACAGTGAACTTTGGGAGACGCCAATCCACATCTGAGCTTTCCTGGGAAGGTTCAAACTAACATGTAAACAATGGCGTCTGCCTTTAAAGAACAGAGTCATGCATGGACATGTGGCTTGCCCACGTGACTCCAGGCTCCATCTTGCTGCTGTGATCGTACACAGGGCAGAGGATATAAAAGGCTGTGGCATCACCTCAATTTTGTCTTCAATCCTGTTTCTTGCCTCTGGAGGAACTTTGTTCAGCGCTTCAGTTTATAGCAAAGGACTGAAGGACCCACCCCAGCTGGGGATGTTCTCCAGAGACTTGATTTGAATCTGCAGCTTATTCCATCACTGCTACAAGCCTGAACCAAGAACTTTGCCATGACTGTATGTAGTTGATTTCATTTAACCAATTATAGCTCTCAACTATATTTCTTTCTTTTTATGAATAAACCTTTAGATTTTAGATTCTAAAGGATTGGCAACAGGATGATATGTGGGTAAGATCTAACTTGTATATTGGTCTGGGGCTTAGTCCTTTGGGATCAAGAGAACCTTTTTTTCTTTTACTGGGGTATTGGTTTTCATAACCATTCATCCACATAACAAGTGGTACTGGTGGTGATACAGAGGAACTGGAGTGTGTAAGGTAATTGCTTGTATGACTTATGGTTAGCCAGTGGGGTAAAACCAAAGTCCTCTCTCTCTGGCTGGTTTGGTTTGCCTTGGTGTGCAAAGGAACCCCAGCCTTGGGCTGTAACTGCCCTGCTCTCAGCAATT